AGGGCCTATAGGCCCTCGTTTTCAGGCTTTGAGGCTGAAACGACACAGGGCCTGTAGGCCCTCGTTTTCAGGCTGAAAGGCTGAAACGACACAGGGCCTGTAGGGCCTTGTTTTCAGTTCACAAAAAAAACACCAAATGAACGGCCGGTCACGTTCAAGTGACCAGTGCCGGTCACGTTCACGGGTCCGGCACTGCTCTAGACAATGCCAAAACGTGCCAGACCCTGACCTTGAAGTTCAAACAAAGGTTGTCTTGAAAACAGGCCCAAAATGGCCTGTGCTAAAACCCTCGTCTGAAAATGGCCTTCCGTTTCCGGCTGAAAAGACTCGGGGCCTGGAGGGCCCTGTTTTAGGCTGAACCGACACAGGGCCTATAGGCCCTCGTTTTCAGGCTTTGAGGCTGAAACGACACAGGGCCTGTAGGCCCTCGTTTTCAGGCTGAAAGGCTGAAACGATACAGGGCCTGTAGGGCCTTGTTTTCAGGCTTTGATTTTCTGTCTGGTTGGGCCTTGCAGGCCCGTGTGGCTGCGCAGTATGCCACACAAGGTACAATATCGCACACCCCGGGGACTCTTTTAGCCCCATCCAGAAGTCCACCGCAGTCCAAATCATGGTCAGATTACACCTGCTCAGGAGGGTGCGGGTGATAGAAACGCCAGACACACAGGAACTCTATGCCCTCTCCCCTGACACCCCTCTCCAGTACCTGGAGTTCGACCCCGCGGAGTGGGGCTGACAAACTGGACCAACGATCAGCCTGGTGTAGCGCACGTGGAACGTCACACAATACACAACGCAGCTCGGCTACCGCCTCCTGAGACAGGATCATGATGTGGCGGCTGCACTGAACCTCCGCTGGCAGAAGAGACTCCAGATCTCCTTCCCTACCTCCCCCACAACACCCGGGCAGATCACACGCTCCATCTGTAACCCACGCCTCCAGTGCCTGCAATCAGATGGCCGTGGCTGCAAGCCGCCCGGCCCAGCTGCACCCGACAGGTCCGGTCCAGGGGCAGATTTGGGACATGCACGCGCCGGGTCGGGTGCGGTTTGGAAAATCTGCAAAAACCCTCTATCCAGTTTGGACAGCAGGCCAAGATTTTTTTTGCAGTTGGGGCTGGGTACAGTTGTAGGTTTTTTTGCAAACCAGATTTGGGTCGGATCCAGTTCAAAACATACACAAAGGTTGCGAGCACTGCACGCCTCTGCTCTCTCCAATGGTTGATACTGTATCTAGCACTTCTGGTGAACGAGTGGTTGAACCGACGCCGCAGTCGGCACCACAGGACAATGCAGGGCGAGCTATGCGCCGTCTGTGACTCCGGATTAACGGAGGATATAAGCCACTGCCTCCTCCACTGCCACAATGCGACATCTAATTGGGAGGACATGTTCACGTTCTGGGAGACCGTCACTGGAAAGATCTTCCCCGCTACGACCTCGCCAGCTGGAAACGCAAGCTCTCACGGCACCTCATACTACACGCGCTGTGGCTTATCTGGCGAGAAGATGCCAGCACACATTGTCTCAGATACGTCACCAATCCCCCCTTCACATGGTCCAACTTCAGGGAGGACGTGGAGCTTGAATACCACACGGACTGGGCCCAGTTAAGGCGCAAAATCAAAGACGAACCCAGCAAGGAAACCGATCCCAAACAGAAATTCCTCTCGCGCAGGCAGAATTGCAACAATAACAGGGAGACATCTGACCTTCACATGGCCCCTCAGCCCCCCCTTGGCCCCACCCCTGCAGCCCTCCTCAAGGACCCCCCCTCAAAGGAATGGAAGAACTCATGGACAAGTGAGTGGCGAGGGACTGGCCTCAGCAAAGGCACGCAGAGAGAACTCGCTAACCCGCCACTAACGGAACACCCTGGGGTCTCCCAGGGAAGCCTGGGGTTTCCAGGCACAAGATGCTGAAGGATCTGACGACATGCATTGCAAGCAAGGATGCAAGCAACAGAAGAAGCAAGGTCAAAAGGATCCGTCATGGAACACACAGAGCAAGCCACACAATCAGCAACGGAGCAGACACTCCTGCGGTCTCTAAGGGGAGCCAGAGTTTTCTGGCGCTGCACCGAGTCCGAACCGAGAACGGGGCGATTCATCAGATCGGCAGGCCCTTTAGCCAGATAATGGAGTGGGAGCATCGTTTGGAGGGAAGAGCGGCAGTGAGGGACTGGAGACGCCCCCGTCCTACTGGGGCAGCCGAAGGGGACAGCCAAGACCATGCTATTCTGCTACAAACTTTAAGGAAGGCAATAAGGAAGCAAAATAGAACTTAAGCAGGAATAAACGAGACAAGGGTCTACGGCTCAAGCTTAAATAGGAGCTAGGGGTTCGACATCTTGAGTTTTAACCTTTTAACTCGGGTCCCGATGGATCCTGTCAAAAGCAGAACACTGTGTAAGGCTTCCAGATCCGGTCTTCATGTGGGGAGGCCGCCCCCCCATTAAAAAAGATTTCAGCAGGCGCTGCTCCCCACCAATAGATGGAGCCTCCCCCACGGTACTAGCGGTGTCTGCTCATATCAGCACCCCTAGTAACCTGAAGGGAGCTTCGTAAAAACAAAAACAAAAACAAAAAAAGAAACAGAAAAAAAAAAACATTAAAAAAAAAAGGCTACATTTAGTAGCTCGTTTAGCGACACTCGTCTCGGCAGTCGCCTACAGCTGGCGTTCGCGCCTGTTGTCAGTGATTGCCAGTGCTGCTTTGTCGGCATGTTCGGTGCACTTCGGGTCATCCGAAGGCTGGTGGATATGACGGTGGACCATGATGTGGATTCTTCCTATTTGATATTCTGTCCGTGCGGATCTCTCACTGAATTGTCTTCTACCTGAGTGACTGTGTCAGTCCGTGTGTCTTGTGTGCTACGGTGATCTTGCCCACTGCGCATTACTGGGCCAAGGTCCCACTAGCAAAGAGGATTGGATCGAACGCCTGACTATGGACGCGTTTGCAGAGCGGTTGAGAAAAAATCACTTAGTCTATCTATCGAAATGCTTTTTTGCATCTCAGCTTCAAACCCGTCCATATTCAATCCACTTTGCTTGCGGGACCTCGCCCCTGGTGTAACAGGCCTCATCAGTCCCTCGCAAAATTTTAATCAAACGAAATGTAAATGGGCATATTACGTAATCAGCTTTTCTCTTCGGATTCATCCCATGCAGCACAGTTGCTCTGTCGCTCTCTCCAGCAAGTTCACAGCAAAGACAGAGGATCAACAAATGTCAAAAACTTGAGTCGTAAGAACGCGCAGAAGGTGTAAGGAACAAGACCGCGGTACACAAAATGTACGGTTCTAGCCAACCGAGGGCAAGGCACACCTACACGACTTCACCGTTTCTGGCTGTCAATCCTTGTAATCTGAGGTTCAGAACAAAGGAACCAGGCAAGAGGGAGCTCTGCTGCTCTGGCCCAGCTCACTTCCACTCCCTGTAGGGCTTAAGCCACTACCGTCTTCACCCGAATATAACGCCCGGTCATTATAGCCGTATTTGAGGCCATTTTCTGTCCGGATGCAGCGATAATGACCGTGCGTTCTATTCGGGTGAAGACGGTAGTACATGCCCCAAACCTTGTGGAGAATTGTTCGTCACCTAGTCCGAAAAAGTTGGAGCGGGCGCGCCGTCAATAAAATACATCAGCGGCCGGCAGCGCGTTCCGGCCTCTGAAAGGGGCTCGCGGCCAATGTAGGGCATATACTGGAGCGGGAGGGCTGAACGACGTAAAAGCAACAAAAAGTGGGGCACAGTGAACATCCATTTCCTTTGCACAGGCATAAAACCTGGTGAAGATTCTATTTGTTGTGCCGTCTGTCCAAGGACTTCCTGGGACTTTGGGGGCTAAATAACAGTAGTTTGGGCAATTTTTGGGGGGGGTCTTTTTTAGGATCCTTTTGGGGGGATGACTTGGAATATCACTAATTTGGGCCCTTCAGGCCCTTTTGGCATGTGTCATCATAGGCTCTCCGGCCCCAAAAGCTGTAAAAAGGCCGCAAATATATGCCCCCCCCTAAAAGGACCCCAAACGCCCCAAACTCCTAAGGGCCCCATCTATTCTTTCAAGCCCAAAAGGGCTCAATCTATTCAACCCCATCCTGATCTTAGGGGGTGCTCTTATCACCTTGGACATGGATGCCTGCCATGCTCACGCCTTCCAAAACAAAACAAAATCAAAATCAAAATCAAAATCAAAATCCATCCCTTCCTCAGATATTCCTTCGCTAAAAACAAAAGGGGCAAGTACGTTGATGTCACAACAGAGTTTTGAGTCGGTGAAAAAAAAATGATGCACTGGCAACACAAACAGCCGCAGCGTTTGAAAAAGCAATTAAAGTACCACGGCTGTGACAGAGGCACAGGTGTCATAACTACAGAGGCAGGCTGTGGTGCCAGACGGGAAAGGGCAAAAAAAAAGAGAAGAAAAAAAAAGGGCCAACGGATCTATTTATTTCAAGTTTCAACTGAAATTGCTGTCCCCAACTTGTGCCACACGGACAGTGCAATTTACTGCACTTTTTTTTTTGCCAGTCTGAACTCAAAACCTGTCGTGACCGTACTTGTTTCAAAAAAAAAATAGAACCAAAAACAATTCCTTGGCCCCAAGCTACCTGAGACTACCTCCACAATGCCATTTTTATTTTTATTTTTCCCATTTTGAATTTGCCCTTACCTTCTGGATGAAGAATTGGAAGAAATCAGAAAGAAGGGCACGCGGCCAGGAAGCCGACTGTGTTCTGTGCATTTCTATCACTGCTGCATATGCTGCCTGTTGAAGAAAACACATGGGAGCAATTGCAAGGAACAAAGGTCAGGCCAGGCCTTACATGGGGTGTATTTTTTGCCTTTGCTTCCAATTTTCAGACACAGCTATCTTCAGTATTATTGGTTTTTCTTTCTTTTTTTGCTCCGTGCATTTTTCAAAATTTTGTTTTCCTTTTTTCGATATTCTGCAGCTACATCAAGCTCTTAATATGATCAATGCCTTTCTCGGCCTTTTGCCAAAAAAACAAAACAAAACAAAAAAAACAAAAAAAAAAGAAAGAAAGCTCTTATGATCTGTTTCTGTACACTACGTGATCTTTAGTTATTAACCCCATTACACACCCAGGGGTATTGTTTACTTCCCCCCCGGAAGCTTGATGCATAAAAGCTCTGAGATTCTGAAGAAAAAACAACCAGGGCTATTGTGTACTTCCCCCCCAGAAAGTACCATTCTTATAGCGCCGGCACACCCGGCCCTGGCAGCCTTCCACTGCACACCCAGCTTTACCGAACCGGCAGCGGCACACTTTTTTTTTCTTTTTGGGCTGGCGCCGCCAGCCATTGTGGTTTATGCCTCCGTTGGCCTCTGAATTTTCCGTAGACAGCAGTTTATGCCTAGAAATAGGCACATGTGTAAGCTAGACTCGAATTTTAGACATGAATTCTGTCCAGCCTTCATCATCATATTCGAGGCAGCCAAGTCATGTTGCATTTTCTTTCCTACTTTTTTTTTTTTTTCATAGGGGCTCGTTCGACACTCCTTGGGGCGTCGTCGGGGCCGAAGGAAGTTTCCTTGGGGGGTTTCAAGGAAATTCCCGCCATCGTTCCACCTGTCCTCGGGGACGTCGCCCGAGGACATTTCCTTCGAACCATGTCCGACAAGAAAAAAGAAAAGAAAGAAAAAAAAATCAAATGTGTTTGAGGCCTTCATCCAATAGGGTGCCGCCACGATCCAGATTCTCGGTTGTAACGTCTCTCTACCCATGTGCCTGCTCCTCTCCGTGAAACGCGGATTCCTTTTGCCCAAGGGACCTCGTGAGGTCCCTTGGACAAAAGGAAAAAATGGCTGGGGAGTCCTCGGAGCCCAACGAATTTCCTTCGGAGTGTTTTCACTTTTTTTTTGCCGACTGCATCCCCGAGGATAGGTGGAACGAACAATTCCTCGGGGACTTTACGCACCCGAGGAGTGTCGAACGAGCCCCATAGGTACCTTTTCTTTTACGTTTTCTTTCTGTACTGGTAGTTCTTCTGGCTCCGCACATCGTTAGCGCTTGCATTTGCCGATTGCATCGCATAGTTCTACCTATACCTAACTGCCATTTGCATCATAGTTTTTTTTCTCTATAATTGCTCAGCTGAATAGCTCTGACCTTTAGTTGTTCCGTCTATCTGTAACTACTAACTACTGCTTTCTCTATTGCACATATTTCTGCTGAATAAACTTGCCCCACCACAGTACACACGGCTATCATCATCATTACCGTGGCTTTTCTCATCGCACAAAAAAAGAAGAAGAAGAAGAAGAAGAAGAAGAAGAAGGTATGCTTCTCATCGCCAAGGGTAAGATTAGACTGCACATCATGGGTGGGTTTGAACAATCATGACAATCCATTCATGATGGCTGCGCGCAATTTGAGTTTCAGCTTAGTCTGTATCAATGGGTAGTTGAAGAGATGAACATAAAAAACATTATCAAACTCGACATTACAAGCAGGCCAAGGGTTGAGAAACAAAAAGCCAATGCGAACCTAATAACCTATCAAGTTAGCAATCAACCGATGAGGACTCAGCTGAGGGAATGACCCGCACTATCCAAGTTAATCCAACCAATATGGTAAAATCAATCATTGCAGTGAAGGAAAGGGAAAGGGAAAGGGAAACGAAAAGGGAAAAGAATCGGAACCAACAATAACAAGGAAAAAGACGAGCAAAGCAAAAAGTGAAGCCCAAGAAAGTGAGGGATGGCTCAAGTGAGGACAGGAGGAAGACGAAACGATAGAAGGGAGGAAAAGAAGGGAAGGAAGAAGAAGGGTCAAAGACTCGAAAGAAGAAACGAACGCGGGCACCGTTCATTATAAAAAAACTATAGCACAATATGTTTGACGCCTTACTCTCGCGGAGGACACGGTGTCCAAAGAAAATAACTAGAGTCCCCTCGAGGATACTCCAGCATCGACCTTCTGCCTAGTCCCCTCAGGCCCCACAATGGCAGGGAGGAAAGGAAGAAAGGGGATGGAGGGGAAGTAGGGGGAAGGGGGACAGAAAGGGAGAGAGCGACAGAGGGAGGGAAGGAGGCTAAGGCTCACCATGCGTACTTGGACAGTTTCAAGGGTGGGGAAGGTGGGCCCCACATAGTCTGGAATTCATGAAAGGAGGGAGGAAGGATGGAAAGGAAGGAAGGAAGGAAGGAAGGAAGGATCAACCCATGGTGCTGAGCTCTTTTGGGTCAGCCGTAAAGCTCCCAATGAATAGGACGCAGCCTACTTTTTGGTACTATACAAGAACCCTACACCTGAGGTGCAAGACTTGGTTTGTCGAGTGCCCAGAAGTTGTTGTCTGTTATAAAAACTTAAAAAGCCGTTCTTTTTTTAGCAAGAGGAAGAAAAGAAGAGAGATGACAAGCAAACAAACGAGGAAGAAAGGAAAATATTCAATTTTCAAAGAACCATCAGCAATTTCATGCCTTGCAATAGTAGCAAACGATTAAGGCGGATAATAGGTTAGGGTACCCACGCACTTATTCAGAAAAGTAAGACAGAAAAGAAAAGATAAGAAAAGAAAAGAAAAGAAAAAAAAGGGTACCCTTACAGTCTCTGCCCTGAAGTTTTTAAGAAAGACAAAGGAAAAGAAAAGGAAAAAAAAGAAAAAAAGGGTACCCTACTACCCTCACACTTCCACTTCCCAGACAGTCTGTAAAGATGCCTGGTGAGCACTGTGTGTACGCACTGTACGGAAATTTAGGTCCATTTCCAAGGGGTTTAAGCCCCCAGTACACAGGCCCAGCCTTGCTGAAATAAGACTCCTCGCCTACCCCGAAAACCATTGGGGCCGGGCTACCATTGATAAATGTCATCAATGGCCTTTGTTGCATCTCTGGCCTCCAAAAGTGGCGGTGAGGGGCCTGTGGCCGATGTATGGCCATGTACTGGTGGTTTAAACCACCAATACCTCTGCCCGCTTGCAGGGAAAAAAAAGCGTGGCGCGAAATAGCTGGTGGCGGCGGGCAGGTACATCCGTGTGGAATCAGTTTTTTGTGGCGTGAAGGGCAATTTCGGGACCACGGACGATGTATGGGCCAAGCAGGGTTGCCGATCCCTGGCCCCGGGGCCCCGGCAGGGGTGCGGGGGTCCTGGGGTGGGCACCCCCAGCCGCGGCTCCGGACCCCCCCACCAAAAGTAAAATAGTGGGGGGTGCGCAGCGAGGGCGCACACCCCATGGGCTAAACCCCAAAATGGGGTTTTGTGCCCCACCCTGGACCCCACCCCGGGCCACACCCACCACTGGTGGGAC